GTATGCGAGTATCATCACTGCTCTGTGCGTGTCCGTCAAGTCCTACTGTAAAATTTAACTCAACCCTTCACTGTTACTCTAACCACAACCACACTGATACATGGCGCAGGGGACCTTGAATATGTGGGTTTCCTGCTGGGTCCAACCTTTAGAAAGCTCCTTGTCGTAATGCCTACAGCGACGTTCGCTAAAATGCTTACGAAAGTAAACATCCCCAAACCTCACAAGGCAACTTATAGTGCCTGCTAATAAGGATGTTTCGGCGGCTCACATTTTTTAAAAGTTTCCATAGGGGAATGAGGATGAAAGTTGATCTTTCTGCACCGAACAGGTGAAAAGTTTCACTAGCCTGCATAAAGAAAGTTGTGTACTGAAATAAGAATTACTAACCTTCTTAAGATTCAAAGTTCATGTGCTTGACGATATTAATTTCCCAGTAGATCCCATAGTCAACAATAGAACTTTTTATAGTGAACCATTTTCCAAAGGCACTACTTAGAGTACATCAAACAATATATGTCCCTTAAATAAGACGTTTTTGGGCATGCACTTGAAGAAAACGTAGCTGTCTGGCATGCACGGACTGTAGATCTAACAAAGGAAAGATTCTGGACAAATGAAGCTGCACTTCAAAAGAAGTTAGAATTGCTGTTGTTTTTAAACCTCTCATTAGGATCGGCATTCCTTTTTGCAACACCCAGAACCCGAAGTTTCAACTATGCCCTTCAAACCCTGAATTCTAATACGCACTTTCGGTTTCAAATTAAACTATTTTCTGACCAAGAAGTAGTAGTATATAAATGAATTGTTGATTTTTGCAAACGAACATTCCCATAACAAGCAGGGAAAGTTAACCTATCAACGTTGAAAAAAAGTGACTAAGATTTAACGCTTTTTCAATCTGATCTCCTAAATAATTACCCATCCACCACACAGGGGAGGCCTAAGTAGACGATACCTACGAAGTAGTGTTCAAACATTCGGGAATGCTGCCTCAACAGTACATGAATTAGTTAAAATCATATCGAGTAAAAAAGCCCTTTAGGGAATATTCTCCCGGAAGAAGTGAGGACACTCCAAATATTTTGTCACATTGAGTCGTCATTGTGGGCTCAAGTGGGTTCGGCGCTCTCCCTGCAATGCCTCTTTATGGAAAAAATGTAAATTGCTTTTGAGTTGCGAAACAATTTATCGATTAAGCGCATGCGTTCTTGCTGAGATATGTATTCAGATGACAAGTACCTGCCATAATCTCTGGAGCTGGCCAATGTTAACTACGGCTGCTTTAAAACGTCGCAAATTAGGCTGACCATATGTGTATTGATCAGATAACGCTGACACCCGCGCAATTCTGACCTCAGTTTTCTTCCACACTTGTTTATTCGCGCCTACTCAGTTAGACTACAAAAACCCTAGAATGTCAAACGTGCCCCAGAAACTAGACGTCAAAATGCACTATGGACCTGGAAGGCGACAGAGGTTGCATACGGTTAAAGCGACAGTCTGCCAAGACAGAAAAAAAGGACCTGCAGACAGCGACTGCGTTCGCTTCCTTTATTAGTACTGCCCATGGTGTGGTTTGCA